GTGCCTGCCGCACGATCCACAGCTGCAGAACGATGTCCTTGTCAGGTGAAGTGCTGGTGGGATGCCCGCTCTGTCGCGGTGCAGACGACGGGCCAACGACGACATGGCAAACAACCTGGAAAGGAACAGGTCGTGCTCTGCACGACCTGCTCCAAGTGGATGAGAAGATCGCAGTAGATGTTGACTGCTTCAGCACGTTGCCGAGACGGCATGCCAAAGGGCGTGCGGAAGCGACAAGGATCGTGTCGTTCTAGTTGGACTCGTGCGTTTAGCTGTGTACTAGTACAAACTTTCAACCAAAGGGCACTGGATCTGCCCTCATGAAATGCCACGATGGTGAGGTCGGACAAGGTCGTCCAACAACAAGCACAAGCTGGCAGGAAAACTCCCTGCAGCTCAACTTCGTGCAGTAGACTCTAGTAGTAGACGGGGTATCTTGCCTCAGTCCTCGACTTGCATGACTTGTATCCAAGGCAACACCGCCACGCCGCATGGATGGAGGACGCCATGGTGAACAAAGATGTCATGGTCATGCACTTAAACAGCCACCACCCCCCCCCGCTACTCAACACGAAGACACTCACTTCTTGGTCGTGATAAAGTTGAGCAAGTCGATGCGGGTCGCGATATGCAGCGTGCCATTCGCGCCTTGCACGACAGCAAAGAATTCCTTGTCAAAGAGTTCGGCCAATTCGCCCAGGGACGTCGAAGTCATGACCCGCGCAAAGTTCTGGAACATGCCGCGGGACACGGGATCCTTGGCAGCGAGGCGGCCGGACGAGAGCTTGGACAGAATTTGGCCGTTCGTAACAACCCCGTGCAGCGCGCCCGACGTGTCGACGACGGGAAATTGGTCGTACCCCTTGGCGTCCATGAGTTCCGCCGCCGCCTTGCACGACAACGTGGGCAAGATCGTAAACGCGTCCGGCAAGTGGAGCGCCGACACGGGTTGGGTCGACCACCACGTCGTCATGGTCTTGCGGAACTTGGTGTAGTTGTCCGACTGGTGCAGTGTGTCGTCAACAAATTCGTTCTCATACATCCATTGGTCGTTGAGGAACTTGGTCATGTAGTTCCGGGTCGAGTCGGCCAGCAACACGACGCATCGTTGGCCTTCCTTGAGCTGTTGGGCCGCTTGGATCGCGGCTGCGACAGTCGCGCCACAAGACCCCCCAACAAGGAGACCTTCTTCGCGAATGAGGCGGCGAGCCATCACAAACGACTCTTGGTCTTCCGTCTTGATCCATTGGTCCACCAACGAACGGTCCAGCACGTCCGGAATGAAATCGTACCCGATGCCTTCGACCTGCATGCATCACAGCATTCAGAAACATCGAGGCACCGACGTCGCCGGACGCACCTTGTACCCACACAGCCTGTTCTTGTCGTTGAGCGACTCGGGCTGGGCGAGAATAGACCCGACAGGATCGACACCCACGACAATCAGGTTCGGGATCTTCTCCTTGAGCTTACGCGCTACGCCAGAGATGGTGCCGCCTGTACCGGCGCTCATCACGATCATGTCAATGTGACCGTCACATTGGTACAACAACTCTTCTGCCGTGCCTTCGTAGTGCGCGTTCGGGTTGGACGGGTTCGTGTACTAAAGCCACCGCAACCATTCAATTCCAAGGGATGAAGATGCAGATGCAGAGAAAAGGGAGCTCGTACTTGGTCCAGAATATGGGCATTCTTGATTTCTTGCTGAAGACGCCGGGCAACACCGATGTGGCTCTCGGGCGAGTCCCAAGCCGCCTCCGTGGGCGTCCGAATGATCTCGGCGCCGAGAGCCTTCAGAACGTTCACCTTTTCCGCACTCATTTTCTCCGGAAGTGTGATGATGCAGCGGTATCCGCGCAACGCGGCCGTGAGCGCGAGTCCGATCCCTGTATTCCCCGAAGTGGGTTCAATCAAAGTGTCGCCTGGCTTGATGCGACCACTCGCTTCAGCATCCAACACCATTTGCCGCCCGATGCGATCCTTCACCGACCCACCAGCATTGAAGAACTCGCACTTTGCCAGCAACTCGCATTTCAATCCCGCCTTGGCAGAAATCTTGTTGATGCGCACCAGCGGCGTGTCCCCGACATGGCTCTACGTGCGCGGCATAAGAGATGCGCCGTTGGATACATAGTAGGAATGCACCAGGATGGACGGAAGGACCGGCGGGCGCTGGAACGGCGGGAAGATCACTTGGGCTGCGTTCGTCGACATCACGTCAAATTTTTCAATGCGTCACGTCCGTTCACCTGGCATACGAATAATTATCCGGATTGATTGCCGCGAAAATGTGAAATGCACTTGTCGAGCGGGCGCCTTCCTTCGCTCTCACTTCTGAGGGGGAATGGCGGCAATGGCGCGCGATCTGCGCTTGCACGTCACGCGGACGTGCGATTAGATCGAATCACGTCTTATGTTGCTGCGTATGGTCGGCATGTTGTGATGCCACCACGATGGTTGTGTTGCTACAGGTTGCATGAACGTGCGGACATCCATGATGCAGCAGCCAGTTGAACTCAGCATTCAGCATCCTCATGGAATGACATCGTCTAAGAATACCATCGTCGATGAAGGCGCTTGCGACTGAGGGGTTGCCACGTGCCCGCTCCACGTCTGTACGATACGTTCGGCAACATCGTTGTGCAGGTCCATGCCTGAGATCAATCGGTTCGGATCTATCAACATGGAGTGATGAAAACAGTGCAAACAAGGATCCCAAGGAAGAGTACGTGATAACATTCTTCATGTTCGCATATCCACGGCGTTCCCTCGCAAGGACGCAAGTATACGCGCGCCGTTCGTGGTTAACCACTCCCATCAAATTCTGACCAGAGAGTTGAGGAAAAATCATGGCGACACAATGTCGTTGGAGCTTTCCAGTTGTCTTATTGCCTGCAACATTCATCCATCACCACCAAATACCTCCATGCTCTTGACATTTTGTACGATGGAGAGAGCGCACATCTTCGTTGCAACAGTTGAACGCGCCGCCTACCGTCGAGTCATTGTCAGGTGCGATGCTTGGTTCAATCCGCAGTTGACATCAAATGCGCGGCAGCCCACCATGCTTCCCTTGCGATTGCCGTCATCGTTCGTGTGGATCCACCCATCGTTGTTCTCGTGGGCAAAAGCAATGTTCATCAAGTAGTCGCCATCCCGTTCGTGTGTCGTAGTGTATTGCACCAAGATCGCATGCAATAATCCAACTGAGGATGGCCCGCTTGCGGGTGAAGTCGCGCTAGCTGGCGAAAGTTCCATGTAGTGCACGACATGTGACTCCATCGAAGCTTGGACCTTGGCACGATGCCATGGGCATCGCTAGCTTGTGGTGAGGTTGAAGCATTCCACACGTTTCGTCCAACGTTTTTCCCAGCCTTCCCACATGGCCCCCTTCGTCGCGAACGAAGGGGGCGATAGGGAAATGCACGGGGCAGCATATCGAACGTGCTTGCGGCACCAAGCCGCGCTTCATCCTCTCCAATGCTCCAGCCACGATGAACGCCACACTCTGAAAGTTAGCAAATTCAACAAAAGTATGTGGTCTTACCCGGACTTGAACCGGGGACCTTCTCCACGTCAAGGAGACGTGATAACCGCTACACTATAAGACCATGCTTGGTTGTAGGTCTGAAGAATATTATCAGAGCATAACAATGACGACGATCCTCGGAGAACGTTTCGTGTGGTCGCTTGGAAGTTTTTGGTTGACGCGACGCACGCGACCGCGATGGTGACCGAGAAGGATGTCAAGGTGAAAGTAGGCATTCTCAAGCGGTCGAAGAAAGACCTGGCGTACTACGAGAAGGAGAAGGGCAAGCAGATCCAAAAGATTGAAGCCATGCGTGCCGACAAAGACAAGTACGACGACCACGACATTCGGAAGCAAGAAGAAGTGCTCGCAGAAACGGAAGCCATGCTGCCCGAAAGCACGGCTCGCCTTCTTGCAATCCAGCAAGAAGTTGAAACGATGCTGCAACAAGTGCCGGAGGGCTCCGAATGGCCTTGCATCGACGAGGCCAAGGAACTCTTGGCCGCCAACGCATGAACACTCGTCCTTCCAACACGATAACAAGAGTCTTTCTTTATCGCAGAAGTTCTCCATCCTTGCGTCCGGAACTCCCTTGGTCCTGCAAGCGGGCGACTCATGCTTCTTCATATGCTCCCTTGTTTATACTACCACAGGACTACAACTCGTCCAACTCGGGGACGGACGTCCATTTGACAGGTTACGTTTTGCTACTTGCCAATGGAGAGTCCTTCAGCCTTCGACTAAAAGCGCTAGAGCTCGGATGCTTCTTCCTCTTCTCGGGCGACCCGCCGCCGTCGTCCAGTGTCGCGGCAAGTGCTGCCTGTGCTTCCTTCACATTCGCGCTACCTAACCCAGTCGATGTGTTCACTTCTGCGCCACTGGACGTTGGCCGTTGCTCTTCGCTGAGTTTCATGTGTGGAACCGATGCCGACCGTTCCAGTGCCTGTAAATATTGTCAGTAAGTTGGTGCCAGAACTGCAATCGTACCGCGTCGTCCAGGGGAGGCAGCGCCGTCTTTTTCGCCTTGGCTGAGAGCTCGAGCCCCCCCGCGCGTCCTTGCCATTGGAGTTCCTTTTGCTTGAGCTTTTCTCGATCGATCTGCATTTGTTTCTTTTGTTTTTGCACGCGCTGCCATTCGCGCTTCTTTTCCTGTACAGACGCGTTCGCCAACGCTAAAGCCGACGGCCGCTTCGAAAACAGCTCATTCCCTGGGAGTGTGTGGTCAACGCAGCCCGATAATTCGCTTGCGCTTGTACCTGATGTCAATGGACCGACGGAGGCGGCGCCGCCGTCCCCCGTCGGCCGCACCATCAACTCGTCGGGCATGTCGTTCGCCCCATCTGCCCCCTTGATCTGGTTCTCTCGCACGTCGATGACACAGACCGTTTCGACCTGGACGATCCCATCCTGGTTGCTCGACGTCCTGTTTGCCCCCAGCGCCTCGATTTTTCCCCCTGCATGGACATATACATGCCGGATGCGAGGGTTGCGCTCGAGAGCTTCCGTGAGCACCCTGATGCCGTCGTCCCCGACAAAATTCTTGCGCAGGTCGATGTGCTTGAGTCCGGTCGTTGCCGAGCCTAAGATCGCTGCAATTGCACGCGCCCCCTCGCCTAGGATCAAAACAGCGCTGACATGGCTCTCCTTCGTCCATGCGGAATTCACGGGAGACATTGTATCGACCACACCAACGTACTCGTGATGGCATTGCCGTGAAGCTGCAAGTCGTGAATCGAGCTGTTGTTGCGCAAGAGCGCAGCAATCGCATGGACTTCTTCGTCGCCGATGCTGCTTTCTGGCAACTTTAAGCTGAGCTTGGCGTCGCTGTCGGCCGGGACTTGGGACTTGACTTCATGCACGTAGCTACACACAACTGGACGGTCTGCGACAACAGAGCCATGATACACAACGAGGGTACCGTATCAGGGTCTTCCGCTTGGCATCTTCTTCGACCGCGAGCTTCTCTTGGAGCCACTGGCATTTTTTCCCCACATGGTCTAAATGGTCCTGCTTGCTCTCGAGGACTTGTTGGACCGCCAGCGTCGCTTCTTCGGTGACCATGAGTTGGTGGCACAGGAGCGCGATCTTTTCCACGAGGCGGTGCTTGGTGTTTTGCTGCTTTTGCGCCCATTTCAAGTACGCATTGATCCCAAGCTTGTCAAGGTACTCGGGACACCCGTGCGTGCTTCGCTTTGGCTTAATCACGAGCAACCCGCCGTGCGACGCGCGGCATTCGACAAAGAACCGACCGGACGCTTCGGCTTCCTTATCGTCCGCGTAGCCGTCGTTGTTACCGCGGTTGTTGTTCAATTCGACGTCGACTGCCACCGGGTCGTGCATGGCTTGCGCCACCATCTTTTGCTGCAGGGCGTCGAATTTGATTGTGAGCGCATCCAAGTCGTCCTACCCCACACCGTCAGCACGAGCTCACCCGAACGTCGTTTGGCTCACGCACTTGTTTGGTCCGGAGGGCTTCCGTGACCACGCGGTTGCTTTCGCCCGTCGTCGCGAGCTTCTGCGTTAGCTCCGCGTTTTTGTCCTGCATGCTCAAGATCTGTGCATGCATCTTCTTCATCTCTTCCTTCGTGCACAGCTTGGCTTCTTCGTCGACTTGCATCTTGTTGAGCAGAAATGTGACGCGGGAGCTCATGGTTTTGAGTTTCTCGGCCAGCTGCGCGCGCTCCTCGGCCTCTTTCAGTTTGCCCTTGACCTCGTCCCGGCATCGAATGCTCAGCTGGCTATTGTGTTTTTTCAACGCATGGAGTTGCTCGAGCAACACGTCCTTGTCCATTTCGATCTTGACGCGGGACTTGCCTTCCTGCGTCACGTCCTTGAGGAGCCGCGCGTTCTTCTTCTTGAGGGAGAGCATCTCGACCTCCTTTTGCTTGAGCGCGTCCAGCGACTTGGTTTTGCCCAGCTCGGCCAGTTTCAGCCGCTCGAGCAATTGAAATACCTGGTGGCCACACGTTAGTGTGAGCTCACGTCCGTGCTGTCGTTGGGCGGAGACACGATGCCTGGCCAACCCCCCTACCTTTTCCGCCATCTCGCGCAACTGGTCCGCCGAGTCGCGATTCTCTGCTTCCATTCGCGTCCGCTCCTGCTCCGCCTTATCGAGGCGATTTTGCAACGTCGTCTTGTCCGCCGCGAGTTGGTCGTTGTCTGCCTACGTCCCAGCCATCCATGCGGTCACGCCATTTGGTCACGACTGCACATGGCACACTCACCTGCAAGTGCTTGTTCGCGTCGATCTGCGATCGCTTCGCCTTGGATTCGAGCTGCAATTGCATGTCCCGCTCTTGACTTTGCTCGACGAGCTGGCGGATTTTTTCTTCCATGCCGTGGAGGGTGTCGTCGTTCTGTCGCTTCGCTTCTTCCAGCGACTGAATCTTCTCGAGCAGTTGGTACTGCTTTTCCTTGCGCACCTGTCGTCCATGCATGTGGCGTCAGCATCAACCCCTTCCATCCATTCCATGGCTGGTTCTCGTACGCGCAGTTGTTCGTGGAGCGACTCGAGCTCGACCTGCGCCTTCATTTTGAGCTCATTGTTGGACGTGCGCAGTTGGTCAGCGTCGATGCGCAGCAGCCGAACCTGGTGACCAAACGCCGCAATTGAGTTGGTACGGCATGATGAGACGCTACGTACTTCCTCGGCGCGAAGCTGGCCGTCCCGCATGGCGCGGCCCGCCATTTCTTCGTGCATCTTTGCCGTCGTCATGAGCGACGTGTATTTGCTAGCCAATGTTTCCGCCTCGGCTTTCATTTGAGCGTTCTCTTTGCCGAGGACAGCAGATTGTCCCTCCTCAATCTCGAGGAGCCGCAGGAGCTCGCTGTTATGGTCCGTCAGCACCTTGATCTGCATATCGCGCTCTTCCATGTTGCTCTAGGATGGTGTCTCTGCGTTGGTCTCGACATGTCGACAATAATTCAATGATCACGGCACCTCCGCCTTCTTCACAACTGCTTCCGACGCCCGACTCCGACTCTGCAGCTCAAAGTTGGCGTCCCGCAGGCTCCGGTTCTCGTCGTCACATTGGACCTTCTCCATCTTGAGCGCCTGTAGCTCGTCGTCGAGGTGGTTCAACGTCGCCAGAAGCTGCGTGTTCTGGTCGCTGAGGATCCGCATCTGTTCGTCTTTCATTGCAAGTGCCTCCTGCGCCCGACTCTCTTTGTTGCTCTTGGCGACGCCGACGGACGGCTTGACCAAGCTTGTGATGGACGTTGCGCGTATCAGCGGCGACTGCTGCGGTGGGTGGTTCTTCGATATAGCGTCGCATGAGCTTCATTCATTCAAGGAGAACGTACCTGCGCAGGTCGAGTAGATTCCATTGGTGACGTGGATGTCCCAGTGTGAGTTGCCTCGGGGGGAGATTGCAGCTCATCCTCGTGTTCCATGGAAGGGGAGACTCAAGCGCGGCGCCAACACGGGCGACGCCAAGTAGAATTGCCTCCGTTTCCGATGCTATTTTTACTTCAGCACACGCCTTTGAAACGCTGAGGTCGTGGGGTGTCAGCCAGGCACGGGCATCCATCCATCCCACTTGCATGATCGAGCACGCGCAAGAGCACGAGTCAGAAAGACGATAGGTTGGCTGGTGTTGACATCGATGGTATTCATACGTGCTATCAATGAGTAAGGTCGAGAAATTTCGCCGGCGGAGCATCATGTTCTGCCCTCGTCCGACAAGTCGAAGTGCCACGATGGTCTGCATTTGAGAATGCTAGTCGATTCAATGCATCCCCACCAGCGGCGCGAACTTGTCCTTCCATCGTATGAGAGAGATCCATTGCATTGAAGACTGTGCATCAGTCGTCGCAACCACAACACTGCTGGCCTCGGACGTACTCCCGCATTCGTGGCCATGCTCGATGTATCCATCGATTCAATACACCAAGAGACCCATCGGCCCGCGACTTGTGCGATCCCATCGCTCCAAGTCACAATTTGGACCATTTTGTCCGGATAATGAAAAAAAACGTGAAACCGATCCACGGCCATCGCGACATGCAGCTCTTGGTGTGGGTCGTGGATGGAGTGCACGCAGTCCTTGGCCCGATCCTGGTGTGTGGTGTGCTGTCGCTGCTAGCGTTCCTCGTGGGTTCGTTCTACGTTGTCATCTTGCCCCACGCAGCCGCGACATTTGCCTGGCCGATTGGATGGGTTGGAGCGTACTTGTTCGTCCAAGTGAGTGTGCACTACGTCCTCTGCGTGTGCACAAACCCAGGTCGTCTCGTGGATGTCAACCCGCCGAGCGAAGGGTTGAGAAATGATGACGACAATGCAGACCCCAAAGCCGACCTGGCGCACCTTGGCATATGCCGCCACTGTGACGTTGCCAAACCGCCTCACGCGCACCACTGCCATGCATGCGGCGTTTGCGTCCTCGACCTGGACCACCATTGCGTTTGGGTGCACAACTGCATCGGCCGGTTCAATTACTGCTACTACTGGCGCTTCCTTCTCTTCACGTGGCTCACTTGCTTTTTCGTCGCACTGGTGTCGTATGTCGCAATTCACGCGGATAGACATGACACGACATTCTCGACCTTCGATTTGCACGTCCGGTTGCCGTACGCTCTGTGCTTGTGCATTGGGTTGGTCGTGTTGGGGTTGTGGCTCTGGCATGTCTACATCGCCCTGGCAGGCGTGACGACGTTGGAGGCAATCATTCGATATCGGTACGTGCAACAAAATCGCGCTTCGTGTTTGCAAAGTGCTGACACCGACCAGTCCAAAGTTTCGTAACTCCACTGCTTGATTGAATGCTGCTCCTAGCACACGTCAAGCCACCATTCCTTTGACATGGGCCATGATGCAGCGCAACGTTCGCCAAAAGGTGGGCTCGCTGTGGGACTCTCTTGTCCCTCCGATTGCCACGGTATTCGCAAAGAGAAAGTTTGGCCTGCCGTCGAAGCATTCCGCCGCCCAGTACGAGTGCGTCGCATGATACGGAGTTATCCACACTCAGGGCCATGAGCACGTTGTTTATATACGTCGACTCAACATCGCTGCGCGGACTTGCCCTCGAAGAATGAAACTCCGTCATGAACAGATCCATGCGTGAACAGGTTCGGATGATTCACTGCACATCCTGGTACATGGAGGACGAGGCGTGTGATGACCTGGCGCCTGCGACGACACACGTGCGTTGCCTACCGCGAAAACGAATGTCTACGGCTTTTGCGGTGTTTTCGTCGAGGCAGTGCATGGTGGCAGGGGTAAATGCAGTCCGATCTGTCATGAAGCACGTGCCGTGCACATGGCAGCGACGAGGGCCTCGAGTGGCATTGTCTGTCCTTTATGAAATCTCGACGTATTCCGAGCAAATTTTGTACATCAAGAAATTCTGTCCAATCATCGAATTGAAATGGATTTATTCACTGTGTCTCCTGCATTAGTGGTACGTTCCAATTGGTCGATTAATAGCCAATCAAAAACCTTGAGAGAATGCCGTGGTGCCCAACAACCTCAGTGTCGTGGTGACGAATTGTTGAGTCTAAGGTACAAGAACGGCGCAAGATGTGTCGGCGGCGCGGGCACACCCGACACGCCTACATGATGCTATCGCTAGAAGTATGTCATGGCGTCCTTGCGCTCAAATTTGACGGCGAGCGACAGGGCTGCGAAGAAAACGAACCGTCGACAGAGCGTTGGTTCACATTCTTGCGAGTGATGGTCCGTTCGACACAGAATCGATCGTGCGTCGCATGCTATTTCGCAATTCGCAACCTTTGACCATGTCTCCTTACACACCCGTCCCCGTGCCTGCGACCCCGTCGCCAAATGCTGGGACCTCCGCCATTGCCATCACGTCGACTGCCGAGCGCCGAGAGATCGCAGCGTCAGTGGCCACGACGACATTTGTCAACTGCCACCTTGCCGCTCCCGCCGTTCTTGAGAATCAACGAAAGCCCGTCGACTTGGTCGTGGTCCTCGACAGGTCGGGCAGCATGCATGGCGATAAGCTCGCTCTGTGCAAACGCACGATGGACTTCCTCGCACACCAACTGGCGCCTCACGACCGTGTGTCGCTCGTCTCGTACGACTCGGACGTGACGACGGACATGCCCTTGACCAAGATGAATGACCAAGGCAAAGCCAACCTGGCACAAAAGGTGAAATGCATCCAAGCAGGAAGTTGCACCAACCTGAGCGGGGGTCTCGTCGCTGGCGTGGAAGAGGTTCAGCGGCCCACGCGGCTGGACAATGGAGAACCAAATCCAGTTCAGTCCGTCCTGCTCCTGACCGACGGTCAGGCCAACGAAGGAGTGACGGGACCTGACAGTCTCGCCAAGCTGCTTGGTGAATTGCTTGGGCCACAAGTGTCGTTGCACACGTTTGGCTATGGCTCGGACCATAACGCGACCCTCCTCGGTCGACTGGCGGACATCGGCCGCGGGTCGTACTACTTTATCCAGAACGTGGATGGCGTGGCATTGGCGTTTGCGCGATGCCTGGGCGGTCTTCTCAGCGTTGTGGGCCAGAACATCAAGCTCGAAGTCGTCGCGTCCCCTGGTGCATTGATTGCTTCCGTCAAGACCAAGCGGCCAGTGATGACGGTGGCCGACAAAGTGCACGTGGAAATTGACTTGGGCGACATGTTTGCCGAGGAGTCGCGCGACGTGCTCGTGGAAGTGCAGTTGACTCCCCAAGTGCCGTCTGAAAAGATGGAGATCGTCGAGTTTCGGGTGCGCTACGTGAACGTACTGCAGTCGACGATGGAAAAGGAAACGTCTGTCGTGACGATCGGTCGCCCTGCTCGTGTCGAACATGACGACGACGACACCGTGGACGAAGTCATCGTGGCACAGAAGCTGCGCATCGCAGCCGTCGAAGCGATCGAGTCGGCACAAGCTGAAGCGAACAAGGGAAACTTAGACCAAGGCAAACGGTTCCTCCGGTCCGCGATCGAGCTGGTGCAGCGCGACATGGCCACGTTGAGCGTCAATGCCCAGGCGACGATGGCGATATTGCTGGCCGACTTGGACGAATGCACGGTCAACATGGCGAGTCAGTCGGTGTACCAGTCCCGCGGACAAGGCCGCACACAGCAGAAGATTCAAACGCACTGGATGCAGCGCCAAAACAACGTTGAAGTCGAAGAGGATTGCCTCCTCGACTGTGACGACGGATTTGTAAAATTTTGCAGCAGCAGCAACGACGACGACGAAGACAAGACTGCACCACGACGGCAAGCGGCTGCTCCCGCCCCAGCACCCGGTGGCTACGCGGGCATTGGGAACGCCATGCAAAGGCAAATGATGAAGAAAGCGTTCAAAGTCACGAAGTAGCTTGTCCATTCATCCTTCTATCTAATCGATCCTGTGTCGTTCGCCCTGGCAATCGCCGGTTTGCTCGCATGGTTTCAACAGAGCTAGACCGCTCGACGTGCCCCTTTCGAATCGCCAAGCAGGCGTTTGCAAAGACGTGTGTGAATAGGGCGGCGCATTCTTGTCATGGCAACGCTTGTCGCGACCGAGCAACGGGCATGAGGTCGTCGCCGCGGCGTCATTCCGCCGCGATGTGGAGCACGCCGCCATGGCATCATCCATCCCCTCTGGACGAGCACATGGCGTTTGGATAAAGTTCCATGCACCCATCCTCAGTCCTAATGTTCGAGTCCGCGATACTCGTCGAGGCTCTAGAGAACTCGACGACTTTGATAATGTTCGACTTCGCAGGGCAAGTTGGAGACCCTTCACGTACTCGCCAGCTCGTCAACGCTTGTTCCAGCCAAGGGACAACGAGAGGGAGCAGGGCGCACGCGCGAGCACTCCGCCACACACACTGAAACGAGCCCCAACACTGGACGGAGCCGACCCATGCCATCCTTCGACGTCGGGTTTGTCGAGACGGAATCCCCCCACCCCACCAAACCCGATGCAGATGAAAGCAGCTCGTCGCCAACGTCGCTATGGACAGAAGTCAAGTTGAACGTGGCGCTCGCATTTCCCTTGGTACTCCCAAGTTCCTCCCCCCGACACGCGTCACCATTTCCATGACAGATCCTTTCGTCCATGCTCATGTTCATTCCGTTCACGACGTCGACCGTCCTCGTCGGCCACCTCGATTCGAACAGGACGAGCTCGTACATCGCTGCGTCGTCGTTGTCTGTGCTGGTACATGCCGCCCCCCCTCTTCCATGGACCTCTGACCACATCCACGTCGCGGGATGCACGTTGCAGGTCATGAACTTGACGGGGGTGTCTGTCGTGGTCGGGCTCCTCTCGGCGCTCGACACGCTTTGCCCCCAAGCCGTCGGTGCAGGCAAATTGCACCACCTCGGCATGTACTTTCAAAGCGGCCTCCTCGTCATGAGGTAAGTACATGCCCTTGGGTGGCGCCTCCACCACCTTAAGATGTAACCACATGTGCCATAGCTTCGCATGCATCCCCATTTTCATTCTCAACTGGAACGTCGAAGCCATTCTCCTCGCGCTGAACCAAGAGCCCGAGATCGCCGCGTTGGCAGGTACGCTCGTCGCCATGGACGTCCGAAAGCGCATGCCGTGACGAGCGCTGCGCCAGGCGAATACAACAAGTATGCGATTCTCGGTTTGCCCGGCTTCATTCTGTACGAGCTGATGCAAAAAGGGCTCCAAGCGCAAGGCATCGTCACTCAAATGGTGTGGATCTCGGCCATCGACAACGTGCTGTACATTGGGATCGGGTACTGGCTAGGGTACCACACGAGCATGGGTAAGGGGTTTTGCTTCGTCACTCGGACTGACACTTGGTACCCTTCAAGGCTTTCTTGGTGTGGCACTCGGGCGCAGCATCTGCTTCAGCCTCCTTCCTGTCTTGGCATATGCGTACATGCTGTGGAATCCCGTGCACAGGGCATGGTGGCCTGCCGACCACTCGTGGATGGCTCAATGGAAAACCGCGTGGAAGCACATTCCAGAGTTCCTCAAGCTCGGCGTCCCTGGTACGCGCCACACGATCCAACA